GCCCTTCCTTTTCTGAAGCCTAACTGGGATTCATTGAGTTGAGTCTCAACAACTGGTCTCATTCTCATTTCCTGTATCTTGGCAAACGTTTTACTCACATGGCTGAGAAGGGATATTCCTCTGTAGGTTCCACAGTCTCTTTTGTTACCTTTCTTTTTCCAAATATGTACAATGACAGCCCAGTCATCGGGTGTTGTTTTTGTGCCCAGGCCAGGTTAAATATTCTCCATAGCCAGAGTTCACCGATACGGCGGCATAGTTTGATCTCTTCTGCTGCCATGTTATCAAAGCTTGGCGCTTTGTTTGTGGGGCTATTCTTTATATCATGCGGGTTTCACTCAGCAGTATGGATGGTTCTGGATTAGTTTCTTTCAATGAGAAGCTGTTTGGTGTTGTTTCTCCGGTAGGATTCAACAGCTCCTGGAAATATCGTTTCCTTTTTTCTTTGGCTTACTGAAAATAGGGTTTCGGTTATCATCATTGACTATTTCAGTCGGGTTGAATGATTCTTCCCGCATTCTCATGCTTTTAACTCTCTTGTAAAACTCTCTGGGGTCTTCTTTACATGCTGTTGCCAGCTGTCCTCCATATATACTGTCCAGGATCTGTTCTTAGTTTCTTTTACTCCCCTTGTTGTTTGGCGACGTTCCTTTCTGTATAGGATGTGATCTCCCTCTGTCTTTGATTTCTGCCACTTTTTAATGCCTTTTTCATCAGCTGGGTGGCTTCCTTCACTTGGTCATTCCACCTTATAGTGTTTTCCTTTTCTGCCCTCCTGTTTTCTTAGTGCCACACTCTTCTTTTAATACTCTATATACACATGCTTTGAAGCGGCTCCATTCCTCTTCAATGTCTCCCGGTTTTTGGGGCGAAGTGCATCTTCCAAACATTCATGTATCTTATCTTCGGTATCGTCATTTATACGAGCTGAGATGTACGACTTCTCGTCGTTTCTTTGCTTCTGGCCGTTTCCTGTTTGGTGTGTCAACAGTCATGATGACTAGTATGAGGTCAGTGTCTATGATGTAGTTGGGAATCACTCTTGAGTCTTTGATTTTTCTCAGTTTCGATCTTTTGGTCAGAATAAAATCAATTTGTGGTGCTTTTTAACCTTACTCATTTTGTGTTTGAAGAAGGTATTTGATATGACGAGGTCATGTTCTGCGCACAACTGTAATAGCATTTCTCCATTGCTATTTTGATCTGTTTCTCTGTCACTGTGTGGTCCCATGTATCTCTCCCACGTCGTCACATTATCTGTGCCATACACGGTGCTTAAAGATCAGCCAGTTGATCATAGAACAGTTGTCACAGTTCTTCGGGGTATGAACCACAGCATGGTGCATATATCTGTATTTGATGCTCCCCTGTAATCTATGGTGATTTTTGTATCAATCTCCGGCTTTATACAATACTCGTTAAATTTCATATTTTCTTCAAACTTGAGTTTGCTCTTTTAGTTTGTTTTAGCTAGGGTTTAACGGCACTTGCAACACAAATAGGTCATATAAGCGCCGGAGATTAGAGGTGTTACATGAGAGTAACATACACATAAACATACACAAAAAAGAACGAGGACGGATAAGGACGGTTGACTTTTGATTGGAAAAAAGGAACAAACAACACCACAGTGCACCTACTAGATCTAACCAGAGAGTTTACAGTAATACTATTACTGTAATACTATAATATTACTGTAAACCCTCTCTGATCTAACCCTGCTTGAGTTATGCATGTAAGATTGAAACTGCTTTCAATTCTAATCATGTTTCCCAATAGCAAGTTGAAGAACTCTTTAAAACAAAATGAGGGATGTTTTTCTTTTGAAAATCCGGTCATTATTATAGAAAGTGTGCTCGTTTCTTTTTTTTCCTTTTTTTTTTGGGGGGGGGGGATAAAAGGCATCGGACTCCTGACGTCCCGTAACGGTAAATAGAAATTTACTCTTTTTAGTGTAGGCCTCTTGGGACCTACTAGATCTGGACCCTCTAAACTTTTATTGTTTGTACATTGACTCTACATAAAACAACAAACAAATTGATACCTCAATGGTTACAACACAACTATTATTGTGGATTCTTTGACGTTTCGAAGCAAAATTTGGAAGTTTGGTGGCACAAAATGCAATGCAAAAATTTGGCCAAATCAGCGCGAAAATCGATTCACAAAAATGGTCGACGCTTCTGAACTAACAAAGGTAGTACAAAAATTTCAAAAGTTCTGAAAACAGAAATCCAAGCTCTTTCCTATAATTCTAATTTCAGTGCCGTTGGAGAAGTCTGAAAATTTCACTGAAGTGCCTTGATCTAGATCAGTGGTTTTCAAACTTTTTTCGCCCACCGCCCCCTTTTTCACCCAGCCGAGTCCCAGCACCCCCTACTCCGCCCCAACCACCAATCTAACATAATGACATGCATAATATAATAACAATCACAAATAAAGAGAGAGTTCAAACAGTAGGGTAGAAAGTAACGTGCCTAAATTCTAATGATTTAGTTCTGAATATTAGTTGGGTCACAAATCACCATCTTTACAGTCTTAAATTAAGCGTGGACGAGAGATAATAAAACACATTTTCTTCAATCTTAAGCAAGGGCATTGAGAGCAAATTACTGTCATTTTATGCTTATAGTTGTCATCGGTACTAAACGACCAGTGTTTTTACATCAATAAAAATAAAACATGTATTATCACATTTACAGAAGCAAAACGCCAAAAATAAATAAATAAATAAATAAATAAAAACGCCCGTGATCATTGGTTTGAAAACAGATCGACATTATCTTTATGAAACGTTTTCTCCCATCAACGTGCTGCAATAAAGTGGCCTGAGATTTGTATCAAATGTCTCTGTTGTAGAAAATAAACATATTATTAAGTTGTTCAAATGTGAGAAACCACACGAAAGAAAGTATGCATGGATCTTAGTCTGTAATTATCACCATCATCGTAATCATTGTCATCATTATCATCATTGTCATCATCATCATCATCATCATCATCATCATCATCATCATCATCATCATCATCACCATCAGTTTCATCAGCAGTGGCAGAACGTGCACATAAAAAACTCTGTTAAACAAGTGAATGTTTTGCTTTTTAAAAAAAGGAAGAAAAGAAAAAAAAAAAGACAAGACACATTGAGATATCAAGTAAAGGTAAACTACGGAGTAAGTATGCACAAATAAGTTATTGACACTACCCTAATGGGAAGGATGGACCTGCTAAGATGGAACCAACTTATCAACATCAGGTTGCAGATTGGTCAGTAGCAGACGCAAATCACTACGCTTCGTCAGCATCCTTTTCACTGCACTGAATCCCCTCTCCTCTAGATAGGAGGCGGGAAAAGAGGTGAACAACAACTTGATCTTTTCCCACTTGGGGGGATATTTGTCTTGTACAACAGTTTTCAACCAGAATGACTGGTACGGCTTTTTGAGCAATGGTTTGATTTCAAAGTCACATTTTATCGTCAGAAGCTCTTCTTCAATTGCTACTTGCAAGTTATCATCTGTTTCAGTGTTCAATGGGTCCAGTATCCAGTATGAAATTTCCAGTAAAAAAAAATCAGGAGGCTAAACCTTGTCTTCATATCAGCATGCAAATCTCTGAGGTGGTTGCTCTATATATATTTGTAGTTCCTCGTCAGAAACGCGCCCTTCTTTCAGTGTCTTCGTCAAGGAAAGTGAGAAATTTTCTTCTGCCAATGTTTCGGCGGATCATTTCCAATTTCGACCAGAATGATGAAAGCCTCGGTCAGGTTGGTGTCATCCCCCTGCAACTGAAAGTTGAACTGGTTGAACTTTGTGAAAAGATCTGTGAGGAGCGCAGTGTTGTTCTTGTGTTCTTTCAGTTTATTGCAGAGAGCACTGTCTGTTTTCTTGAAAAAAAAAACCTCCAGCACAGAGTCAAAAGCATTGAAAGTACTCGTCATTTTCAGTGCGCAGAAAAATAGTCTCGAGTTCAAAGCGTGGACTTGGATCTTGTTCACACACTTGATGACAATGGCCAGTGTGTTATGCAGACTTTCATTCAGGTTTTTTGCCACCAAATTCTGTCAGTGAATGACACAGTAAACAGTAAATACTCCATGGACTGATTTCTTCAAGAAGTTCATAAATCCACGTTTCCGACCTGCAATCGACGTTGCCCCATCTGTTGCACAGGCAACTGTATTGGTCAGAGGGATCTGTTTCTCCTAGAAAAATTCTTGGACCACTTTGAAAATGGACTCGCCTTTGGTATCTGTTTCCAACATTTTCGCAAATAACAATTCTTGCATTATTTCCTCATTCTCTATGAACTGATATCCAGTTAAAGGCTGAGCTCACGTCCTTTAAGCATTTTGCACTGTGATTCCTCAACATTTGCTGACATTTCATCAATACGTTTTTGAATGGTATTGTCGCTTAGTGGGAAAACTTTCAACACAGGCTCCGGGGCACATTGCAGGACGTGCTGACCACCTCTCTTATGGCAGGCAATATGAGGTCCTCACCAATAACATGGTGTTTGTAATTAGCTGAGATAAACTATATGTTGCTCGTAAGCCTTCATCAGCTTGATCGACGTGGGCTGCAAACATCGGTTTAACTGATTTTCATTTCTGAAAATTGATCTTTAGAGTGTTGAAGTATGCCAGATCTTTGTCAGATTTGTCGTGATGAATCTGCTTTATATGGGATTGGCGGGCTGGGAAAGAAAGTTCTTAGCTATAAGTAGTATTGTAAACGATGCCTAAGCTATCAATTAAAAAAAAATAATTATGTGGCTCTCACACCGCCCCCTTAGCGCCCACCAGCGCCCCCCAATTGCCCAATTTCGTCACAGCGCCCCCCACACTCTCGCCACCGCCCCCTTGGGGACGGTAGCGCCCACTTTGAAAACCACTGAAGATTTAATGCTTTGAACCAAACTTAGGCCTACGCACTTGCGCGACCAAACAGAACAAAACAACAAAAAATGGAAGAGAGACAACTCTCTTTATTCGTTCCACCGGAAGTACTATTTTCGTTTTCCAAGCGTCTGTCCGCCATTTGTTCCTATTTGTTTACGTTTTCAACGTCTTCAAGGGTCCCGATTCAATCCATGAAATCGACTGTGCTTTGAAAGTTTTTTGCTTGTGATTGAGATCCTGTGTCAACGTTGATTTTTCAAGATGTCGATTGGAGTGCCGATTAAGGTGCTTCATGAAGCTGAGGGTCACATAGTTACATGTGAAACGTCGACCGGCGAAGTGTACAGGGGCAAACTGATTGAAGCAGAAGACAACATGAACTGTCAAATGGCCAATATTACCGTAACGTATAGGGATGGCCGAGTTGCGCAACTGGAAAATGTATATATTAGAGGCAGCAAGATCAGATTCTTTGTTTTACCTGACATGCTGAAGAATGCTCCTATGTTCAAGAAAGTACAAGGAAAAGGTGGTGGCGCTGGGAGAGGAAAATCTGCGATTCTTAGGGCGCAAGGTGAGCAGAACTTTCAACTTTACTTTAGCTTTATCTAAACATCCAGATTTCTAGATCTAGAAATCTAGATATCTAGATCTCTGTGCTTTTTCGGTAGTTCCCACCCCCCTTATTTGAGCCTGACCTACTTCTAGATCTAGATCTATGACGTTTGATTCGCGGTGAGCTAAGCTAAGATATCAAACCTAACACAACAGCAAAACATTAAATTGTGGTAAAATTCAGGGGGGCATGCCCCCCTGAAATCCCCCTTCCTATTTTTGTTAGGTCAGGGGGGCAAGCCCCCCTGAAACCCCCCTACTCTTGGGGCCAAAACCAGTGAATATAACAATTGCGGAGTGGGAACTACCGAAAAAGCGCCTAGATCTCTTGTGAGGGAAGACTTTGGACTATTGTGTACATATGCTTGGGTTGGGATGTGGGAAGGACTTCCGTAACGAGCGACCACCCCATCAAACACAATAAAGAAGAGGCCTAGATCTAGATCTAGACCTAGATCTAGATTAACCCTACCCCTATCCGTAACCCTAACCCTACCCTTACCCTTACCCTTACCCCTACCCAAGCCCTCAATTCTGCTCTCTCATAGTGGTCGCTCGTTACGGAAGTCCTCCTGGGATGTGTGTATCCAGTTTCAATTGTGATATCTAGATCTACATATGATCACTATTAGATCTATTGGTAGTTTTGCTGATGTACTTTCAAAACAAGCTTTACTTTGTCCGAGGCCCATCCTCGAGACCTGGCAGTTAAACTGTTTCAATCGCGCGTTTGCATCACTTGACATGACTTCAGTGTGTGTTCCTCCTGTGTCGAGGACCATCAGTTGAAGAGGTTTTTGGGTAGGCCTACCTTGGGGGGGGGGGGGGGTGTTAGACACCTGGACTAAGTGTAGTAGTGCTTGACGTGATACAGTCCGTGCCGGCTTTAAGCACGCCGGCATAAAGCACGTTTCGGACTCAAGCACGCTTACCGGCTCTTACCGAATTTTTGCTATATAAGTCACATGCCTTTAAACACGGTAACTTCGGCTTCAGGCACGCTTCATTTACAAGACAGCCAATACTTTCAAGATGACCCATCGAAGTTCGAACACAGTCTACACTGCAGCAGTGAAGTGTGTTAAGAGAAACACACAAAGTGAAAGAACGCAAGTGATGGAGACACACACTCACATGGGCGGAGAGGAAGGCAGAGAGATGCACACAGCCGCGCACCTGGACATAGGATCTATCCTAGGGCAAAGCTACACACATGTAAAAAGAATACAAAGAGTCGGGGAGACGAGAAAGGGAGGCTGGCTGCAATCTCACCTTTGACCCTCCATTAATCCTCCTGATTATGAATCACGCGCGAGGTGGGATGAAGGCGGTGTTATGAATGTGGCGGGCAGTGGTACGCACAGGCTGTGGTGTAGGCCTAATGTGCTGTATCGTGACTGGCTGTCTAAATGAAGTTTTCCTTTCCGATTCGACCACAAGACAAAAACAAACAAGCAAACAAAAACTACCCTGGCGGGTAAAAATAACAGTGCACACTTTTGCGGGACCACTATAGGCCTACTTACAAACAAAGGGAAATAGCACAGGAAATTTTGTACATGAAAATCTCTGGATTATATCTACTTCGCACTCTAGCACGCTTCAGCATTAAGCACGCTTAAGCTTTCTCCCGATGACCGTGGTTAAAGCCGGCATGGACTGTACCTCAGGATGAAAAAAAATACTGATCTTACTTACACACGCACGCACTGAAGGCATATATACAGTCGAACCTGCCCTGACGGCCACCTGTAAAAACGGCCAATTTCCATTTCCCCCCTTGCGTTTTTTCTATATAATTTAACTGTGTAAAACGGGCACCTGTCCAACGCTGCCGCGGCCACCATAATTTAACACACAACCCCTATAATATTAAGCAATAATACCTGTCTAAGACGGTCACCTTAGTGACTCCATTACGTTTTGTTCCTAAATTGTGCATTGGCCCTTGGCGTTGTGGGCGAGCCGTCATAATTCAATCACCTGTCGTTGTTGTTAGTAGTCCCTCCAACCGATCGTGTTGCGTAGGCCCCTCCCACTGTTGACCAATAGCTACCAATTTTCAGCTGCTGGTGAGTTAAGCGTGTGATCCCTCATAACCCATAAGCCCCACCCAGAACTCATACACAAATCGTGAAATGAGTGGTTACTGTTTACCCAGTCTGTAACAAAGTAACAAAGGACGTCAATATGAACTGTTACAGAAGCGTCCCTCGTTCTCCGGGTGGTGGCAACCCATGTGTTTGTTTTAACATGGCACTCGGTCTTCCTTGTCTGATACATTTCGTTTTATTGTCACCATTGTGCAAAATCAGCGACAAAATAAAAATTACAAATGAAATACAAACCAACAGCAAGAACACCAGCAAAGACAACAACAATGGGGCTTCTTTCAAGTCAGCTTGGCAGGCACCTTGGTGATTTGACGTTGATCACATTTTTTCCCCACTAGGTCCTGATTTTTAGATTTCATGGAGTGGCAGGTCTACAATTCAATAGGCCGGCGTGCCATCATGCGACTGCAAATCCCCCACTGTCACACCCAACTTGGAGTGTGCAGAGTCCCACAGAACACCTTGGCTTATTATGGCTTATAGAGGGGTTGTCTTTTGAACTCGGTACTCACTCGTATCATGCCTGCTCTCTCTCTCTCTCTCTCTCTTTTTTTTTTTTGGTGAGCGAAATTCGTGATTGTGTTTTAATAAGACCACCTTCCCTGATGCCATTTTTTATCACTATATTTATGAAGGCTACAAATTGTTTACAATGGGAGAATTTATGCCTCTTCGTAACATAGCTAATGTAAGGGAAATAATCAAAGAACAATTTCTGAATTTGACTATTTAAATATCAGATACAAGACTTTTTTCCTTTGACCATTGCTGTATTGGTGAACTGTGGCCCTGGTATTCCCCGTTTTAAGGCCACAGTGATGCAACAATAAGGCACAGAAAGAGTTACAGTGGAATCTTGTTATAACGAGAGGGAAGGAACCGGAGCAAAATGTCCGTTATAGCAGGATTCTCGCTTTAAGGGATCCAGTAATAAATTCAAGGGAAACTGTAAAGGAGGCCTTATCTTTGAGTTTGGTGTTCTGTTTATTTCCTTTTGCTATCTCCCCTTATGATGATTTTGTCAACAAGACCTCTTGGTCTTACTTGATCAAAAATTGAATCAGGTTTCTTTCTTTAGCGATGTGGACTGACAGCTCAGCGTTGGCGATCAGAAGGAAAGGGCCCTGGGCTAACTCCCCCGCTGTGTTTTCCCCCACCCCACCCCACCCTGTGATGCATTCTATCTGCTTGCGCACGTCACACATTCGCTCCGTCCATCACATTGATGTGACCTTTCCATCTCCGCATCGGAGAAGTGAGAGGCATGGTAGGCCTTGGTAATCTGAACTAGGCTTACGCTGGCCTATCCCGCGATGCGTTCTGCTTGTCTGCATATGCCACACCCTCCCTACTCAGTTGCCCCGGCCTTCATTGTTGACACACATGGGCTCTCCTATTCTTTATTTCGTAAGATCACCAACAAATTTCTTTACTGGCGAGGGTTTGCATGATGTATAATTGGCCTATCCACTGTTCACAGCAGCAGCAATATTCCGCTATAACCGACTCGCATGTTTGTCTGATAGCGCTATAACAGTATTTTATTTACAAAGGTAAAGAGGAGAAAAAAACGGGGTTTTAGAATTGTATCTTTATAACAGACTTCTCGTTTTTTTCCGGACTCGTTATAAGTGGGCTCCATTGTACTAAACTATGTTGTTAATTTGCTCTGTTTTTAGTATTATAATACATGAGGTATACATTACACGTGCATTCATAGCTCTGCGAGGCGAGCTAGTAATCACAATGTATGAAAAGTGGCCAATATATGAGGGCTATCTCATTAAGGTTTTGGGCTTGGACGAAGGGTTTATAACTCATTATGATATTGTCCATTATCTGGTCATGGCTGAATCGTTTCCCTTGACGTTGGGCAGCTAGTACCATTTTTCAGAAGATGGCTGTTAAATAATATATATTTATATAAATTAACCCTGTCCCAAGGTTGGTAGTGTGTAAGGGGGTTTGATTGTAACTTCTTAATTTAAATGCTTATTGTTTTGATCTTATTATAATTTTACTGTTTACCTTTTTAAATTAATTTGACTGTGATAATAATGATAATATTTATTTTCGGTCAAGATTCTGGTCATTTTGTTTATATTTGAATCCTTCAAATTTAATCTGTTTTGTAGATTATGACTATGAATTGACAGTGCCTTGTCAAACTTTGTGCTAATACGCACAACCACACCCATCTTTTAACTTGTGAAGTTGTGTTATTAGCCTAGTTACTGTTACATGTATATATCTAGTTCCCAGTTGTACATATTTGTGCTGTTTTACTGGACACAATTGGGCGCTAAAAATAAAAAGGGGCTTGATACTAATGGGAGAACATTTGTAACCAAAGACAAACTGAAATAACTTTTGTCACAGGGAGTATGATCAACAGTTGACCTGCTCGATTATGTGAGCCGTTGCCATGGAAACAGCAGCCATCTTGAAAACTGGATAAAACTTTTTTCTTCACCATATTTTCAGTTTTTAACTTTTTAAAATTCTGTAACTTGCAAAATGCCACAAATAAAGAGGTATTTGAATTTTAGCGCAAAATATTTAAAAAAGAAACAGCCCGCAAGTACAAACCACTTGTAAAAAAAAGTGGTGAAAAAGTGCTTTTTGAGAAAAACAAGGTTAAACATCGGAACTTGTAGTACACAACGTAACTCAATCAAATTGCATTCTGTTAATGTTAATCAATCGACGACTACTGTCAATATAATCTAGACTGAATGAGGGATCGGGGGGGTGGGTTTGACAGACTGCTATGCAAAAATCTGCTAAGACTAAAAGCGTACGGATAGGATTATCGAGTAAGTTTTCTCTTTGGAAAGTGGTGGCACAGAGTTCTCCTCGTCGTATGGATACGATAGTAAAACACAACGTACGGATAGGGTTAAACTTGGATGAATTGATGGAGGGAGGGGCAAGTTTGTGGCAGTGTACATGATATACGCGAAAGAGAGAGTTGAATTTGTTTACAGGTATATGTTTACTGTTTGTTTGGGTTTGTGTTCCTTTTTGTACAATGTCAAAACCTGGCAGTGAGCAGCACGGAGGTGTTTTGTTGGGTTGGGGTGGGTTTTTTAAAATAGAAAACGCAAAAAAATAATCTTAATGCGAGGGCCTTGGGGTTCCGTGAGTTAGTGCCCAAACTCTTCCTCTATGAATGCTGCTGTTTTTCTTATTATTCTATAGAGCTCTATTTTGGAGCCAAATTTATAAGTTAAACAGTCTAACATGCAAATTGAAATCGGCGGGACAAGGAAATCTTTTCATTTTTAAAATGAATTTTGTTACTCGCTTGTTTTAAATTTAAATACAAAGAAAAATTTCTGGTCCTGAAAATCTACACCTGTGCTCTGTTATTGTGTTTGTTGTGCATGTGCTAGACTAATTATTGGATTGATCCTTACTAACTTTTTGTTGTCTTTGTTGCCCACAGCTGCGAGAGGCAGAGGTCAGCGTGGTAGAGGAGGAGGCAACATTTTCCAAAAACGCCGCTGAGAACACCCAAGTTTTCATCCATTCATCTTTACATATACGCTGGACCATTGATGCTGTTGTTTAGTGTTTTTTTTAATGAACAGTTGTGTTCACTGACTGGGAAGGGAAACTGCAGTCGTTTTTGCCGTTTCAAGTGCTGTAGAAAGGGAAGTATGCGTGCAAGTGAAAGTATTGCTTGGGTGTTTAAATGAAAGAAGAGTGTGAGATGTTAGTGGAGTGATTGGCAGAATTTGATGTTACTATTTTTATCTTGTAGAATTGTATTCCATTGTTTTTGCATCAGTGACATTGCCATAGTTTTGCATCATTTTGAAAAGCTCTGTTTCATATGAGGAGACGAATATTTTCTGTTGAGAAGAGCATTTAGACACATTTGTCTGAAAAAAATATTTTCATTTTTCTGAAATTGTCCTCATTGCTCATTTATTTTCCTGTCGAATAAATGGTTTGTCACTGTTGAACATGTAAAGTGACTTTGCTGTCTTTGAAATATTTTTGTTATTGTCTTTAGAGACTCAAATTGTCCCTATAGTCTGCTTTATCTGACAAATTATCCCTTTAGTCTACTTCATCTGTAAAATTGTCCGTATAGTCTACTTTATCTATAAGATTGTCCCTATAGTCTATTTTATTTGTCGTATTGTCTGTATCTCAATCTCAGGAGACTAAGTGGTTGCCAACCGAGACATCTTTTTTCTAATACTTTTATCTTATACAATTTTATAATGGGAGTGCTTATTTAGGCCACATATGGCCTAAATAAGGTAAGGGAGGGGGGTTTAGCTTATTTAGGCCATATGTGGCCTAAATAAGGTCACCCTTTTATAATAATTTAATTGAAATAGGAAAATGACACTTTCAGAATCTCAGAGTGATTATTATTATTGATAAAAGGAGATCTGATCCATCAGTGAAAGGGTTGTCCTTCAAATTGTCAGTGTTTTTCGAACCTTCTCACTACCTTTTTTTCTCAGTCTGTTCTAGTGTTTTCTGTGCCCTTGTCATGTTGAAATTGGTGGGTTGTCTGCACATCAAAAGTCCTATTCTTTGTTTTGATCAAAGTGTTGTTGGCTGGTGCTGTGGTGTGGTCTGCTCCTTTTTCCCTATCAAACACCTATCATCTTAATCACCCTTTTTTGTGTTATTACTCTCTTGTAATACCTTTAATTCAGAGCGAAATGCTTGCAGCTAAAGGGATTTGAAAACAACACCTCTAGTCTTCGGCACTTATGACCTTATTATGTTGCAAGTGCCGTAAAACTCTTACGAAAACTTTAAAAAACGAAAGTGTTGTTGTCCATTGTCAGGTGTGTGTGAGTTTATGGTACCTGACTTTTTTTTTTCAGTGTTAGTGTTTTTACACCCTCTTCAACTTCAACACTATTTAGATGCCGGTAATTTAAGATTAGAAGACAGGCAGGGCCAGCCTGAACTGAGAGAGATACGTCTTAGCACAAAGACTGGGGTATTTGATAAAAATTCTCACCACATAGGAATCGAACTTGGGCCTTGTTCGTGCAGAGTGAAGCGTCAACCGCCACCCCACTGGTGCAGGTGTACACCTGACTTGACCCCACTGAGTAAAGTTGGTTATTGGAGAAGGAGTGGGGTGTAAATGTTATTTGACTTAACAAAGTTGCTACTTCATATATGAATTAAGTTGGACCTGCTTATGCACAGCTCGCCTCTTTTTCTTCTTTTTTTTTTTTAAAGTACCGATATAATAGAGGTGTTTTACGACGCCCCCATTGACACAATTTTGATTTATACTTAGGAGGCGGGCTTCACAATTACTTTTCAGGGCCAACCGGGGAGGAGGGGGGGGGTCTTGGCTCGAGAATTAACATCCTAAATAGAATGCAACATGTACTGAGATACATATATATATATATACTCGTTCAAAATTTTCCCTTCAGGGGAATTGAACTCTGTTGTGTGATGAAGAAGGGTCTAACCACTACACTACAGCGACTCCATTGGCTTACCTCCACCATAACTGCCATTTTATAACTGCTGGATTAAAAAAATTTTATTTTCCTTTCCTTCTCTGGTGTGTTCTCTTGAAAGTGAAAGACTAGTGTTTTGGGCAGTTGGTTTTAATAGTTAACATATATGGTGTGCATTGTGCAAGCGCTCGAGCTCGTGTTAAATCCAAAGGTGGTTTTATAATTTTTCTTAACTCTGGTACTGGTATGTTACCTGAGGCTGAGGGTTATTCCTTCTAGTTCTAACAACAGGCCAAACTTAGAGTCAGGATATTAAATTCGATTGATGTGACAGCGGCAGACAAAGAGAAAAGTAAGCCTATCGGTGGCCCACTACTTCAACTTCAACTACTCACAATGTTTTGCAAATTTTAAAGCCAAGTTCGGATTCAACTGAATCTTAAGAATTTAGAGGGCAGCTTCATTTTGCCTTGACAGGGGAGTTAAGCTTAAGATTGGAAATAACAATAACAGTGGAGTCTGTTGATTGAAATCTGTAGGTGTTGGATTTTCTTTAGTCTAAGTTTTGTGTTTTTAAGAGGTTCTTTAAGCCCATCCGTATGCCCTGGGGTCATTTTGTACCCCTGGGGTTGTATTCTTCACATTTTAGAATATTTCTAGGGCGAAGGTCTGTGAAACTTTCAGTATTTCTCATAAAAATCATTTTGACAGACTGCTATTAGTGCTATGCAAAGTGTACGGATCGGATTAAAGTTAAAGAGTAAATTTCCTCTTGGGAAAGTGGTGGCACAGAGTTCCCCACGTCATGGATATGATAGTAGGAAAACACGACGTATGGATAGGGTTAAAAGAGAAGAAAAAGAATTGAGTAGGGCCTACCGTATTTAAATTCCTTTGGTTTACTGGTTTCCTGCTTTTTACGGATTAAATGTATACGTTCAAGTGGACTCCACTGTAATTTTAACTAAGAATGATGCAGTGTGGGTGGTTGGCTCCTTTTTTCCTATCAAACCTGATCTATTGTCCTTAAATCTCTCCTTTTTTTGTGTTTGTGACTCCCTTGTAACACCTCAAATCTTCTGCATTTGTATGACTATTGACTGAGACCTAATTGTGTTGCTAGTGCCATAAAACTAACTTACTTGAAACAAACAAAAAATGATTCATTAATTAGTACATGTAGCCTATGTAGATTAGTCCGCTACAGGTAAAAAGGGTGAAAAACTTATTTTGATCCTTTTCACACTCAAAAAAAGACACTTTGGTAATTGGAAGTCGAAGACTAAGCCTGTACAGGGAAGATGCTAACTGAAAAAAAAGTGAAGAAACTCGTCTATTGCCTATTCATGACCCCAGTTTATAAGCCTAATTAATGTGTATATATATGATTTAAAACGAAAAAAGATGCATCATAATGTGCAATTGTACACTGTGAGCTATCGTCATAAACAGTATTGATAGAATCTACACTTAATAAATTTGGCTTAAATTTAAATCTGCCTGGCACTGAAGAAAGTACATCATGTAGTGAAAATCGGTCAAGCTGCTACATCTGAATATCTGGAGAATGAAGTGAAGCGTTCCCAAACTTCAGTGAACAATCATTGGGATTCTGCTGATCTGATCTGAGACAAAGGCCTTATTCCTGGCGCACAAATTGACTCAAACCCCTGTAGGCTACCTCAAAAAGGTAACATCCTAGTCCTAGTTTGAAAATGAAAGAGTTCAGAAAAGGAATTTACCTTTTAGCATGCTATATTTTATAAGAACCTGTGGTGGCAGCACTTTAATGACAAGTAGCCTAAAAGCACGGGTCCACGCCACTTTACAAAATATTACAGAGTAGGCCTACGTCGAGCATCGGGAAAAAGTATAGTATAACAACATTGCTACATGTATTAACAAGTGTTATTTCCCTTGGCTCGTCTTGCAATGATTACTCCCCTTGGGTTTGAAACTCGCAAAGATCACCGAATTAGGTGTAGTAAAATGGAGCTGGAGTCTGCTCGATTAATCGAAGGCTTGCGAGCAGACTTCTTACTGCTGTCTTTCAGCCACACCCATGATCTTCTGGTAGGAAAGATCTACACTTAGCCTTCTCGGACAAGGGCGAAAAATCTCAGAGGGCCCATGTGCAAGTTGCGCTCGTTAAAGATCCCTTGGTGGTCTAAAATCGGGGTAGGCTTCGGCCGCCACCCGGGCCAAATTCAACATTTCCTACCAATGGAAAATATAAGGTGTGTCCCGCGCGCTCATATGACCTTATCATGCATTTGCGAGCGCCGTAAAAACACTTACAAAAACAAAAAACACACATGCGCGCAAAATAAAGTTCTACGTATAAAATACATCATGTGATGTATGTATGCTGGTACAATGTACATGTATGTATTATGTGCAGCATAATAAGTAATTTGTAATTTGCTGTAGCCCAGACTGTTCTGTATTCAATGAGGTTAAAAGTATAAGTTATAAAACTGTAAGTGTAAGGTCCTTGGTTACATTGTATGGGGCCTATGAACTAAATTAACATTATTCTATTCTCTCCCCCCCCCCTCTCTCTCTCTCTCTCTCTCTCTCTCTCTCTCTCTCTCTCTCTCTCTCTCTCTCTCTCTCTCTCTCTCTCTCTCTCTCTCTCTCTCTCTAATATAGTGCAGCCTCTCTCTGACGACCGTCAATATAACGACCAGTGGCGGTGGGGGGACCAAATTTGGGCGGGGCTTAGGTTGCTTCCAGTTTTTTACCGCCAAATAACAAGCAATAAGAATTAATAAACAGTGATGATTTTTCTATACTCACGGTGAGCCACGGCAGTTTGAGAACCATTCAAACAAGAAGAGTTGCCTTTGTTTTCCATCTCTTTGTTCTTAGTTAAATTCTTGTTGATGGAGGGGACGAAGCCGATTCACCTCCAAATTTCCTCTAATTAGATCTAGTTTTCGTGTAATGAAAAAGTTGCCTTACAAGTAGTTCGACCTGATTTATATTAACTCTTAAATCTCTGCGGCATAAACACAAACATGCACACACTGCACTTCAAACATAATACTTCTATTTCTACGAGCTGGATTAGATTAGGCCATGTAGTCGAGAAAGTTGAATGCACCCAACAAAGAACCAATGAGCGCATAGGTAGGTATCTGTGTCAGTGGGGGAAAGTGTGTCGTAAACTTTCACCCCATTGTCAGGGCTAGGAGCGCGTGAGCCCTCGGTACAGTGTTATTTTTTCCCAGTCTTGTACCTTTTTACAAAAGTGGGAAAATGGCTCATCTTTGCTGAGCCCTAAAGACATTTGATTGGCTGCTGGGTTAATATAGTTGTAAGCGGTGACAACGGTGATAAAAGCGAGTAGGCCGCCATGTTAGACACTCTGTGTTTTTTTGGTGTTTTTTTGCGTGCGGTCATAACGGTTTTAACTGCTTATTATTTCATTTTATGAAGAAAAGTTCATTTACTTTGGGATAGAGTTGGGGGTGGTGGGTGGGGAGGGGGTAGGGGCTCAAGCCCGTGAGCCCTTCCCTAC